GGCATTCAGGGAATAAACCAATGGATGTGTTCTCTCTGCTTCTGCCTCTCAAATAAAATGAATTCTACAAAAGGAGATGTCCAAACTGTGCTGTCTAGGGGTTTCCTCTTCTACTGTATGTTAGTACTTTCCCATATTTAGAGAGAGGGTAAATATGTGTGGATGCTGGACAAGTCCCACTGCAAGACCATGCTGCCGAGGCCCCATGGTGGAGCAGCGGCTTAAACCGCCGTGATGCCGGCATCCCGTATCAGAGCACTGGTGAGCCCTTGCTGCTCCACTTCCAATCTGGCTCCCTGCTAGTACGCCTGGGAAGGCGGTGGAAGACGGCCCAAGTGCTTGGGTTCCTGTACCCATGTGGGATACTGGAATGGAATTCTGAGTTCCAGACTGTCGCTCCCCCTCTTCGTGGAGGAACGACACAGGACCCTGCGCTGTTCTTTTGTCTGCTCGGCCCTCCCCGGGTTTGCTGCTGGTTCTTCCCGGCTTGGCTACTATCCCTTCCACCTCCGTGGAAGGGCAGTTCCCCCTGGCCACATTCCCCACTTCCGCAGGGGAGCGGCACACCGCCGGCCGGCTCTCTCGGGGGCTGCACAGGTGTTCCTTCAGCTAGATATTCCCCTTAGATGTTCCTGGTGCATGCCGTCTCTCTCCTCCTTTATAGTCCTTCTCTGCCAATCCCAACTCGGCTGCCCACACGCCGAGTACGCTGCTCTCCTCCAATCAGGAGCAAGTCCTACAGTTTATTGGTTGAACTGGAGGCAGCTGTGCAGAAGCTGTTTACTTCTCTCCCAGCGCCATATTGTGGGAGAGCAGATGCATAGAATAAGTCTTAATTCCAGTAACTCAGTCTAGTCCGGATTGCTCCCCACACAGACTCTTTGGCTTTGGAATAAAATACCGCACTGCCAGCCCCTGTGACTCAGCCAAGCTGGAGGCCACTTATTTTCCAGTTCCTCCTTTAGGGAGGATGGCCTCTTCCTGGTGACATCCACCCTGGTTGCTCCCTGTGTCCTTTAGGCCTTGGAACAAGCAGTGCCTGTGGCCGTCCCCGGTCCCAGCCCCCTATCCCTACTGGCCCGCCCGCATGCATCCTTCAAGGGCAACGTGGCCTTGGCCTTGCCTAGGTGATGTCTTCTCTGGATGCTTCTCTTTGCAGAGACCCTGGAAACGCTCTTACACAAAGCAGCACCAACAATACCAGCCATCATTTATTTGATTTGTTTGCTATCTTTAAGTGCAGTGCCGTGGGACTCAAGCACTCCGCACGGAGGGGTCCAAGAAGAGCTCGGTAATTCATTCAGTCATAAAAGCAGTAAGGGATGGAGCTCTCGGATTTCTGAATGTCTGTGCGTCAGTCCTTGGTGCTGTCCAGGTGGGCAGGTCTTCGTTATGGGTCTACTCTGCCCACCATTTTGATAGGCACTTGGTGGGGGAAGAGGGGGCTCCTCGCCCAGCAGCTAGGAGCCTGTGCTTGCTTAGCTGTTCAGAGGCAGAGGCGAGGAGGCCAATCGGGCACCTTATCCTTGGCCAGGGTTTCAGGGGTGAGGGCTGCCACAGGTGAGAGGGAGAGGTGGGCGGCCTGAGGCCAGGAAAGGACCCCTCACCCCTACTCCCCAACATCTGACTCCACGGAGCAGACCTTATTGTTTCACAGCTAATCACGGTCGCCCCAAGGAAGCTGGTCGATTTCTGAGACCAGAAAACCAAACTCAGGGCGTTGAGTGTTGAAGCCGCAGGGCTGGGCAGGCAGGATTCTGAGCCAAGCAGGAAGATCTTTGCACCACGCCACTGCTGTTTCCTGTCTGGTATTCCCTGTCCCGTCTCTGTCACAGGGGGGCCTATTTTTCTCATGGGGTCCCTGCCTTGTCTCCAGCTTTGTTCACCTCTGCCTGACTGAGAATCCTTGGCTTCAGGCAACTTTCTCGTGCTAACCATTGCTTTCCCAGCGCCCCTGCCCTTCCCCTCCTCTGCCTCTGCTGGCTTTCTCCTTGTCGTTCTGTGCCTGGTGGCAGGCGCAGAGAGGGGAGGGTGGGCAGGCTCTGGCTTTCGTTTCCTTCAAGCATCCCACCACCCCAAGGGTGTTAGGGTTTGGAGTAGGGCCGCATAGATGGAAGGCGCCCTGGGCGGGTGTTTGCTCAAGGCTGCCCAGGGAGCATCCCAGTGTGCAGTGGGACAGTGGTGGTCCCAGTGGGACCTGTGAGCAGCTGCATTGGTGCTGGTTTAGTGTACATCTGTGCCCTGTGGTTTTGTACACATCTCACTGAGGGACTGAACCCCAGGCATGATTACAGCGCCAGCCAGCAATGGGGCTGGGAGCTGACACTGGCTCTGGGCTCTGCACGATTCAGGCTCGACCTCTGTTCCACCCAGCATCTCCTGGAGATGACCCACAGGACCAGAGACCAGTGCAGAGAACAGGGACAGGTGCTAGGAGGGCACGCGAGCTCCCGCCCCCCTCAGCCCCTCCAAGCCCTGGTACACCCTCCACCCGCCGCTTCTCCCCGATACCTTGCTTGTTAGTCCCGACCACTGGCCTTGCTCACCTCTACTGGGACTTCAGCCTCAACTTTTGGGAAAACTGAAGTTCATGGCATGATCACAAAGAAAAGGCAAGTTTCAAATATCAGGGGAAAACTTCCCACATCCCTCAATTCTCCCCTTCCTTCCTTCCTTCCTTCCTTCCTTCCTTCCTTCCTTCCTTCCTTCCTTCCTTCCTTCCTAAGATATTTTTGTTTATTTGAAAGTCAGAGTTACAGAGAGAGGAGGAAAGACAGAGAGAGACAGAGACAGAGACGGAGATGGAGAGAGAGTGCTTCCACCCACTGGTTCACTCCCCAGGTGGCTGCAATGGCTGAGGCTAGGTCAGGTGGAACCCATGGACCCAGAGCTCCATCTGGGTTCCCTATGTGAGTGGCAGGGGCCCAGGCACCTGCTGCCTTCCCAGGCACATCAGCAGGGAGTTGGATCAGAAGCAGAGAGGACTTGAACCAGCGCTCCTATATGGGATGTTGGAGTTGCAGGCAGAGGCTTAACCTAATGCCCCACAATGCCAGATCTCTGTGTTACTTTTGAAGCTTGCCTAACTGCATTCTTAATTTTTATGCATGCACAGCACTGACCTCATTGCGTCTTTTTTTTTTTTTTTGACAGATAGAGTTAGACAGTGAGAGAGAGAGACAGAGAGAAAGGTCTTCCTTCCGTTGGTTCACCCCGCAAAAGGCCACTACGGTCAGAGCTACGCCGATCCGAAGCCAAGAGCCAGGTTCTTCCTCCTGGTCTCCCATGTGGGTGCAGGGACCCAAGCACTTGGGCTGTCTTCTACTGCTTTCTCAGGCCATAGCAGAGAACTGGATCTGAAGAGGATCAGCCGGACTCGAACTAGCGCCCATGTGGGATGTCGGTGCTGCAGACCTGGGCTTTAACTTGCTGTGCCACAGCACCAGCCCCAAGAATGATACATCTTTTGTGAGCCATTAGGCATAACTATAATTTATGAGATGTAAGACTTCCATTTAATACATTAAAAGAAAATAAGTCCTTGAGAACCAGTTTTATCATTAATTAAGGAAGCACCTAAGAAAACAAGCAATGGAGTTGGTTACAGAATGGTTTTAATTCAGTTAATTTCTATATTTCAGCTAGTTTGTTTAGATGTGAATTTTTTTATTTGACAGATAGAGTTAGACAGTGAGAGAGAGACAGAGAGAAAGGTCTTCCTTCCATTGGTTCACTCCCCAAATGGCTGCTACGGCCAGTGCTGCACCGATCCAAAGCCAGGAGCCAGGTGCTTCTTCCTGGTCTCCCATGCAGGTGCAGGGGCCCAAGCACTTGGGCCATCCTCCACTGCCTTCCCGGGCCACAGCAGAGAGCTGGACTGGAAGAGGCGCAACCAGGACTAGAACCCTATTCCCATATGGGATGCCGGTGCTGCAGGCAGAGGATTAACCAAGTGAGCCACTGCGCCAGCCCCTATTGCGTCTTTTGCTCCCTGTGTTTAACCTCGTATCATGAGCATTTTCTAGTTTAAATGACTTCTGAGTGAGTGAGCCAGCACCTAGCCCTGTGTCTGAGGTTTATTTTTTTCTGTTTTCTTTTTTAAAAATAAGTATGATTACAGTTTGGATGAGCGCCAGCAGCTGAGTCCAGAGGGCAAACACACATTTCTGTTGGCTGACACCGGTGTTCCCGGAGTGAGTGTCACCCCAGGGACTGTGCCTGCATGCCATAGGGTGGCTCCAAGCCGGAGCCCTGCTGGCCCAGGGACACTTTGCTGCTGGTTGGTGAGAACTACCTCGTTTGAGTGCCGTCCTTTAGAACCTGATCTCGCTGTTGTTATCTGTAGCAGCAGCACTGTTTGACGTTTGCTAAATCTAAAAACAAACAAACAAATCGGCACTTGTTTTGCGTATTTTGTTTTTAACTGCTTGTTAAGGGTTTTATTTTGTTTCACAGAGGTGCTTTTCATACCAGGTGAGAGCTGATAAAGCAGAAAAAGAGATACATCAGGGTAACCTGTTTGCTGGTTTAAAAGTCTTTGCTGTTCAGCAAAAGCTCTGTTGATACAAAGCAGAAGTTACTTTGTAGCTGGACAGAGCAGCCCCGGAGGCTGGCTCCACCCTCACTCCTGCTCCTGCTGTGTTCCTGAGGTCCCTGGACACCCCCGAGTTTTGCCCCAGATCTGCCGGGCACACCCCAAAACAAACAAGTCAGTGGCAGCACTTCTTAGGGAGAGATCGACTTCTGATCTCGGCGGGAGAGGATTAGGGTGGGGGGACCCTGTCCAGGAGTTTCCAGGGACAGGAGTGCGCTCCTATCTCTCAGCGGCCTGAGATAGAAGATAAAGGATCAAGTCCGGGAGGTTCTCTGCAGTGTCGTTTCTGCAACACATAGGTGTGAAACTTTAAGCAGATGCAACTGGCAACCAAACACAACCTCCCAGGACCCTGCAGGGGCCCGGCCCACGCCACACAGCACGTGTATATATAGGGCTGGAGCCAGATCCCTCTCACAGGAGTGGCAGCTCCTTCCCTCCCTGGTCTCGGCCTCCTCCTCCTCCTCCTCTTCCTCCTCGCTGGACCCTTGCTCTTGGCAGTCTCTGGTTGCTCCAGCAACCATGAGCCGCCAGTTTAGCTCTCAGTCTGCGTTTAGCTCCAGGAGCAGGAGGGTCTATAGCACCAGGTCTTCCGCGGGCTCTGGTGGTGGGAGCCGGACTGTGGGTTCTGTGTGCCAGGCCCGAGGCAGGTGCGGCGGTAGCAGTGGTGGTGGCGGTTTCGGCAGTGGTTACTGGAGCCATGGCGGAGGCTTTGGCTCTAGGAGCCTCTACAACTTGGGGGGCAGTAAAAGCATCTCTGTGAGCCTAACGGGAAGGGGCGGCAGCGGGTTCCGCCAGGGCTGGGGAGGGGGAAGATTTGGAAGGGGTCTAAGCTTTGCCACGGGCCGCTTTGGGGGTGGTGGCTATGGAGGAGGTGGCTTTGGGGCTAGCAATTTTGCACTTGGGGGATTTGGTCCTTCTTGTCCTCCGGGAGGCATCCAGGAGGTGACCATTAACTCGAGCCTCCTGGAGCCCCTGCACCTGGAGGTGGACCCTGAAATTCACAAGGTGAAGACCAAGGAGCGGGAGCAGATCATGGTTCTCAACAACAAGTTTGCCTCCTTTATCGACAAGGTGAGTCCCTCAGGCGCAGGCCGAGTCCCAGGTCTCCGTGCAAACGAGCAAGCAGAATGGGCAGGCGCCCTGCCACCTGCCGCCTGCCGCCTGCCGCCTGCCGCCTGCCGCCTGCAGATCCTGGGTCTCCAGAGAGCACTGAGCGCACTTAGGCTTCCGCTGGCCTCTGGCGGTGATCGCTGTCTTGTCCTTTGGCAGGGGTGTGGAAATATGCAGCAGACACGTGGCACAGCCACTTCAAGCTCCTTGAGCACCCAGGCACCTGTGCACTCCCCTGCATACACCCATTTGTCCATCCATGTACCCATCCACCCCACAAACATCCACTAAGCACCCACAACAAGCCAGATCCGGTGCCAGGTGCCACAGGGGTGATGAATTATGGACTCTGCCCTCCAGGAGCCTCTTAGCTTAAGCTGAGAAAGTTCTGGCTGTGTATGGGACGTGAATTAGTAGGGGTGGTGCCATTGGGCCACGGCCACTAAAAGGAAGGCACCCTGAGCTCTTCTGGCTGGGTCCCAGGAGGAGGACTTCTCTGGGGACCTCAGACCCGGGGGTCTCTAGAGTCAGGGCGGAAGGGAGGCCCCAGCGGGAGTCCCGGGAGGCCGGGAGCCGTGACATCTTGTGGGATTTGAAAGGTTTGTGGTTCCTGGAGAAAGCAGCAGAGCAGGGAAGAGGAGAAGCAGGGGGCTGGAGCCATGGGGACAGGGTAGGAGAAGCAGACAGGGCTAGGCTGGCAGAGCTCCCCAGAGAATGCGCTGCCCTTGGGGGCATGCGGGGAGCACTGAGGGGCATAAGGGCCCCTGGGGAACTCAGAGAGTTTCCCTCAGTCCCCGCGGGAGCTCATGCTTAAGGCCAGGGTTTGACCTGGAGTCTGCCTGGCAGATGTCCAGGGCCAGAGGCCGCCGCTGGGCTGCAGAGTTGACACCTGACATCTGGGCAAATGCAAGGGACAAGACAAGGGACAAGTCAAGGGACGGGAGACAGAGAGGCAGGTGCATGGAGGCCAGGAGACAGCCCCAGATACTTCCCCAGAGCCAACTGCTTGTGGCTCTGTCTGCTTACCTTGGCTGCACAGCTGGATAGAGAGCTTCACACCCCGATGCAGGCCGGCCTGGAGGTGGACATGAAGGGGATGCCCCTGGGAGGTCAAGGCCAGGCCACGGTGGGAGCAGGGCTTGAGGTCGGCGCATAGCCACAGGCTGCTGCAGAGTGACTTCCGGAGGCTCCTGTGGGCTCTGGCGTCCTGTGTTCACAGGGAACCTGCCTGGTGGCGTGGCCTGGGCTGGGGACAAAGGCCCAGGTACAGATGACCTCAGCTTCCTGTCCATTTCCCCAAGGGAAGGCCTGTGATAATGACCATGGCTTCCTTGAGGGGAGAGAGAAGGCTTCTTTTTTTTTTTTTTTTTAATATTATTTATTTGAAATTTGGAGTTTACACAGAGAGAAAAACCAAGGCAGAGGCAGTGAGAGAGAGGTCTTCCATCCGCTGGTTCATGCCTCAATTGGCTGAAATGGTGGGAGCTGCACCTATCCAAAGCCAGGAGCCAGGAGCTTCTTCCGGGTCTCCCATGTGGTTGCAGGGGCCCAAGGACTTGGGCCATCTTCTACTGCTTTCCCAGGCCATAGCAGAGAGCTGGATCGGAAGTGGAGCAGCCAGGACTTGAACCAGTGCCCATTTGGGATGCCGACACTGCAGGCTGTGGCTTTACCCACTATGCCACAGCGCCAGCCCCATTTTTTTTAAGATTATTTATTTATTTGAAAGTTGGAGTTACACACAGAGAGAAAGCAAGGCAGAGGCAGAGAGAGAAAGGAAGAAGGCTTCTTTTTCAGAGACTTCTGACCCTGGTTTGGGACTTGAGTTCCTGCTTCCCCCTTAACCCTCTGCAGCCTGGGCTCAATATCCCCAGAGAGACACGCTTTTTTTTTTTTAATATTTATTTTATTTATTTTGAAAGAGTTACAGAGAAAAAGCAGGAGAGAGAGAGAGAGAGGGAGAGAGAGAGAGAGCTCTTCCATCTGCTGGTCCACTCCCCAAATGGCCGCAGCAGCCAGGGTGGGGCCAGGTGTAAGCCAGGAGCCAGGAGCTCCATCCGGGTCTCCCATGTGGGTGCAGGGACCCAAGCACTTGGACCATATTCCGCTGCTTTCCCAGGTGCATAGGCAGAGAGCTGGATAGGAAGTGGAGCAGCCAGGATTTGAACTGGTGCCCATATGGGATGCCAGTGCTACATGCGGCGGCTTAACCTGTTACGCCAGAGCGCTGACCCTCTGCAGAGCCACTCTTCAAAATGCATGACACTTTAAATGTCATGCCCCACTGCAGTCCCCATGGGCTATAAGTGAACTCTGCCAAGCTGACTGGCACTGGTGAGACCTGAGCCACCTTGTCCTCGTCTCGAATTGCGAGATGCAGTGAGCACAGGGCAGGCTGGAGAACAGAGCCCGGGCCGCCACCTCCTCCCTGCCTCTTGCTCATCCTGTCTCAGGGCCCTTGGCTTGGGCTCAGTCCTCACAGGCAGGCCCAGATGTCTCCATCACCTCCAGTCTTCTCGGACGCCCCCACTGTGATGGCGCCTTCCCCTGTGCTGGACCCTGAGCAGCTGGGAGAGCCCGCTCTCCCAGGCCATCCCCTAAACCTTGCCTCACGCAAGCCCACGACCCCACTCATCTTCTGTGTGCTGGCCTTGGTGTGTCTCTGGGTCCATCCTGCCCCCTGGCAATCAGAGCAGGCGTGGGCCTGCGTCCTGCAGCTCACAACCCAGCCGGGGAGAGACAGACTCTCCGACCCTGCCCAGCACTGCGAGTCTCGACAGATGCTGTCAGCAGGAAGATGGGGGCTCCCCAGGGGAGATACCCGGGTCGGGGTGCACAGTAGCAGAGGGGTAAATGCAGGCTGGCCTTCATCAGGCAAAGGGCTGGGGAGTCTGGGTGCTGGGGCACACAGGGAGGTCGCCGGCGTGGGAGAGCAGTGAGCAGGAGGGAGGAGGGTGCCAGACGAGCAGAGTGGCCTGTGTCTTTCTTCCCAATGGGAAGCTTAGCTTGGCAGCGTGCTAAGTTCTCCCTGAGTCCTAGTGGGACACAAACCGAGGAGGGTTTGGGGCTCTGGGACATAAACATGATGGAGTCCGGTGATTTTTCTAATGGTTAAATCATAGGCAGATTGCCTAGCTCTCCCCCCACCCCCCAAAGACTGTTGCCGCCCTTGCTGTGGCTGCTGAGCTCCTGAGACACTGCAGGTGGGGGTCAGAGCAGCCCGGGGGTTGCCCAAGTCCCTCTCATCGTCTGACCTGGAGAGTCCCCACGGGATCACAGGGTTCTTTCTTTTGGCCCCTGTACCGCCGCTGGCCCCCAGCACTGACCTCTCCCTCCATGGGAGGGGCGCCAGAGCGAGCAGGCAGAGGCAGGTGTCTTCACGGTGGCATGTCCCGAGCTGTGCTGGCAGGCCTGCGAGCGCCGCTTGCCCAATCTTCTGCTCTGATAAAGCTCGCGAAAGGGAGCCATGGGAAGTGGCGTTTTGTGTGGATGAGTTCCACAGGGAGTGGGGGAGTCAGCAGAGCCCACAGGGGGCAACTTCGTGGACAGCTCCCCGAGGCGTGTGCATGCGTGTGTGTGTGTGTTCATGCATGCACAATCGAGTGAGCAAAGTGCAGAGGGGGCGGTGCTGGATCCATCAGGCACGGGAGGGGGCCCATCTGTGGGTAGGGGACAGGGGCAAGGTGAGAGCCGGTCCTCATGCGGAAGGGCGGTGGCTGAGCCAACCCCTCTGCACCCTGGTGCTAACCTCTGCATCCACAGTTTGAGGGAGGAGGCTCTGAAAACACAGGGTTGAATCTATTGTCCCCTCCCTGGGCTAACAGTAAGGCATTGTGGGCTTTCTCAGACATCTGGAAAACCTAGATCCTTGCTCTGGGGCCCTTGAATGCATTGATTTATTTTAAGTTATTTTTTTATTTGAGAGGCAGAGAGAGAGAGCGAGAGCGAGCGAGCGAGAGAGAGAGATCTTTCATCTGTTGGTTCACTCCCCACATGCCCACAATGACGGGGGCCAGGGCAGAGGGTTGTGGGGTAAGCCATCTCCTGGGGTGTCAGTACCTTATCAGCACCACTGCAAGTGCCTGCTGCTCTGCTTCTAATACAGCTTCCTGTTAACGCCCCTGGGAAAGCGATGGGGGATGGCCCAAGCATTGGCCCCCTGCCACCCACACGGGAGACCTGCATGGACATCCAGGCTCCTGGCTTTGGCCTGGCCCAGCCCCAGCTGTTGTGGCCATCTAGGGAGTGAACCAGGTGAAGGAAGACCGATCTCAGTGTCTCTCTCTTCCTATGTAACTCTGCCCTTTCAAATGGATAAATGAATCTTTTTAAAACAGATGTATTTAGTTATTTAAACATCAGTTTTACAGAGAGAGAGGGAGAGACAGAGAGAGGACTTCTATCCTCTGGTTCACTCCCCAGATGGCTACAGTGGCCAATGCTGGACCAAGCCAAAGCTAGGAGTGTTATCTGGGTCTCCCACATGGGTGGCAGGGGTCCAGGCGCCTGGGCCATCTTCTGCTGCTTTTCCCAGTTCATTAGCAGGGAGCTGGATGGGAAGTGGAGCAGCAGGGGTGCCACCATCACAGGCAGTGGCTTTACCGGCTATGCCACAATGCCAGCCCATAAAAGAATGTTTTAAAAAAAATATCCTAATAGAAAAAAATTCCAAGTCAAACTGTCCCATCTTTCTCTGGATTTCCTCCCGCCCCCGGTCGAACGATGCATTCCCCCACAAAAGGTTCTGTGTGGCCCTGTGTGCCCTCTGGCCCTGAGTGGGGCAGCCCAGCTCGCTGAGGTTGGGATATGGCAGGTGACTGCCCCTTTGGGGCAGCGGCTCTGATCCGCGGCCCGGGGCGGGCCCTGGCGGCCTTGCTTTCCAGGTGCGGTTCCTGGAGCAGCAGAACCAGGTGCTACAGACGAAATGGGAGCTGCTGCAGCAGGTGAACACCTCCACCAGGACCAACAACCTGGAGCCCATCCTGGAGGCCTACATCAGCGAGCTGCGGAGACAGGTGGACACACTCAACTCTGAGCAGATGCGCCAGAACTCGGAGGCCAGGAACATGGATGATGTCGTGGAGGACTTCAAGAAAAAGTGAGGACCGTGGGGGACAGTGCTGACATGTGAGGGGTGGGGCGGAGCCACGGTGGGGGCGGGGCAGCTGAGCAGGCCACGCTTTGCACACATGCAGGGGTGCCCAGGGGATGGCATTGACAGCCAGCTGTCAGCTGTGCCGGGCAGGGAGGGAAACAGTGGCTTTGCGTATGCTACAGCCAAGTGAGCCCGCGACCCAAGGCGGGCTCGGCCACTAGCAGCTGGCTGCCTGCGGAGTCCTCTCCCTGAGTCTTTCTCTTTCATTTTTCACGCTAGCAAAGCGGGCGTAGTGAGCACTTTTCTTACTGGATTGCGATTGTGGTTCTTCAACTTCAGTGCCCATCATCCAGCCGAGCCAGCCCCCACCCGTGGAGTTCCCGATGTAGTGGGTCAGGGATGGCGTGAGGGTGCCTGTGTTTCTAACCAGTGTCCGAGGAGGGCGATGCTGGGGGATGTGCTTTGAGAACTGCTGGTTTAGATACAAGCTTGCCAAGATTTTAGTACTACCCCTGCACAACCTTTGGAGCAGTAGGCTGTGACTGCTGAGCACGCAAAGGGTGGCGGGAGCTGTGTCGGCGGCCGGGGTGCAGGGTGCTTCTCTGAACACCCCCACCAGGCTCACGGCGCAGCGTCTGTGGCCAGCGAAGTGTGCGTCAGTCCCCACGGGAAAAGCGAATGTCCCATAGGAAGTGCAGAACTGTAGGGGAAATGTTTTTCCTTTAAGAGCCATTTAGTGACAGCAGTGGTTCATTCATGCTCCCAACCGAACAAGCAAAAGATGAGGGATTTGACACTTTTGCAAAGGTGAAATTTCAAAATCAACTGGGACCTTCTGAGGGCAGGACCCCCAGCTCTGGCTGTGCCGCGTGCGTGGGTCATTGTCACTGCTGCTCGCCTGGGGAGATTCAGGAGCCGGTTCTGAACGCTCAGCAGGGACAGAGCCAGGCCCTGGCAGGGGACAGCCAGTGAGGCTTCCTCCTCCGGGGAGGTCCCAGCTTCCCGCTGCAAGGAGAAGCCCCTGCAGCCTGTCCGTGTTTCTTGCCTCCCCGCCAGGTATGAGGATGAAATCAACAAGAGGACCAGCTCCGAGAACGACTTCGTGGTCCTCAAGAAGGTGAGGGGAGGGGCGGGCCCAAGGGGACTGCGGGCATCCCTAGGGGGCGCTCACATTCGGATCTCCCCAGGGCTCTGAGTGTCAGTTGCTCCTGGCCCCTGGGACCTGGGGAGCTGTGTGTGGCTGAGCCAGGGGTGGAGGCTCCTGTTACACCTGCCTGGGGCCAGGACAGCAGGTGCTGGCAGGGTCCTTATGGGAGTGACAGACTTCGCTGTGGCCGGGGCCAGGGGGTGGGGGTGCCCCTGTTGAGTTGGGAGCATGCTGTGCCTGGGCAGTGGAGCTACATACGTCGTCCTCGCTTGCTGTCTAGGACGTAGACTCTGCGTACATGAGCAAAGTAGATCTGCAGTCTAAGGTGGACACGCTGCTTGGGGAAGTCAATTTCCTGAGATACTTGTTCGACACGGTGAGTTCAGCTCAGTTTTCTTGGCTCTCACAGTGGGTAGGGGCTGAAAGAAGAGCAGCTCGGGCCCCAGCATCGCCCACCAGCGACTCAGCCCCCCCCCCCCCCCCCCCCCCGCCGCTCTGCGCTGGGGGTCTCGAGTCAGCCATCTTCAGGGTCCTGGCTTGGGGGCAGGAGAATGCCAAGGTGGGAGAGGGTGAAGTTGTCCCTGCTTCAACAGTGCCCAACCTGCCTGGGAAATGAGGTTAACATCAGAACATGTAAAGAAATCCCCCCGAATGCTGGGAGCCCATAGAATTCTAGAGAATTCTGTAGGAGGTAACTGTGTGGGTCTTTTTTTTTTTTTTTAAAGATTCATTTATTTATTTGAAAGAGTTTCAGAGAGAGAGAGAGAGAGAGAGAGAGAGAAGAGATCTTCCATCTGTGATTCATTCTCCAAATGGCCACAATAGCCCTGGCTGGGCCAGGCTGAAGCCAGGAGCCTGAAATTCCATCTGGGTCTCCCAAGAGGCCTGAGTACTTGGGCCATCTTCCACTGTTTTCCCAGGCACATTAGCAGGGAGCTGGATCGCTGAGCCTGGCAACTCCAGCGTTCACGTGGGAGACTGTGGCTTCAGGTGGCAGCTTAAAACACTGCACCACAATGCCCGCCCCCAGCATGGGTCCTAAAGGACATGAGGACAGATGGCAGAGTGGAGGCTTATGGGACTCTCCATTCTTGGTCCTCCTGTTGTCCGGGTCCAGCTGGGCATCACTGACCAGGAGCTTTACCTATGTAAAGACAAGGAAACCGAGGCACTGGGGAGATTGTATTATTAGTTCAGACTCCCAAGAAAATTAGTGGCAGAGTCTGAACACAAAAGTGAGTCTTTCTACCCCTCTGAGAACTCACATAGTTTCAAGGTTCAAGAGCATAGGTTGGCTCAGATGGTGCCCAGCCAGAGCGAGGCAGGGATGGAGGTACGGGAGAGGTGGGGATGCAGGTGCGGGAGAGGTGGGGATGCAGGTGCAGGAGAGGCGGGGATGCAGGTATGGGAGAGGTAGAGATGCAGGTGTGGGAGAGGCATGGATGTAGGCATGGGAGAGGCAGGAATGCAAGAGTGGGAGAGGTCAGGATACAGATACAGATACAGATACACAGGATACCAGTGTGGGAGAGGTAGGAACGCGGGTGTGGAAGCAGTGGGGGTACAGGTGTGAGAGGCAGGATTGGAAAGCTGTGTCTAGGAAGCCTCTGGGCCGAGGCTCTCCCTTCTCCCTGGAGGCTCAGCCTGAGCCCACCAACCTCAGCCTGAGCATTAGGACCCTCCTCCCTGTGACCTGTCATTGCACACCACCATTCAAGGCTCCCTCCTGGCCCCCGACGAGCCCTGAGGGGGAAATGGAGACCCCAGGAGATGTGCGGAAGGGGTTATCCTGTGCTCCGTGTCCTGCAGGAGCTGTCCCAGATGCAGACCCACATCACTGACACCAACGTCATCCTGTCCATGGACAACAACCGCTCCTTGGACCTGGACAGCATCATCGACGCCGTGCGGACGCAGTACGAGCTGATCGCGCAGAGGAGCAAGGATGAAGCCGAGGCGCTATACCAGACCAAGGTGCGCAGCGCCCCCCACAACCCGGCTTGCACCCCCAAAACAAGGGTCAACTTCCCAGAACCTCTATTGTCTTTCTCGTCTTCCTAAAGTAAGACCATGCTTGTTACAGAAGGTCTAGAGATTTTGGTAAAGATCACCCCTACCTCATTTCCACCATTAGTGGATTTTCTGCCAGTTCTTTGTGGACAACACTCACAGAAAACTCAGACATGCCAGGCTCCCCACAAAGTGCTTTGTGGGTGCTGTTTCCTTTAATCCTCGCAACAACCCTGTGAGGTAGGGATTTCACTGGGTCCATTTTACAGCTAACACAGTGTGAGGTACTCTAATTCCCCCTAAGTCTTGTAGCTAGCAGGTGGCAGAGAGAGAGAGATCTTAATTCAGCTCAGGTGTTGTCTATGAATCTATGCTTTTAGCCATTTGATTTGTTTTCTTATAAAACGTAGTTTTGTCTTTTTCCTTTTTACTTATGTTGAGTGCCTTTTTGGGACACAGTTTTTTGGGACCAGGTTGAAGTCAGGAGTGTGGACCTCCATGCGGGTCTCCCATGTGGCTGGCAGGGACCCAACTACTTGAGCCATCACCTGCTACCTCCCAGGGTGCGCATTAGCAAGGAGCTGGAACAGGAGTACAGCTGGGACTTGAACCCTTGAACCCAACCAGTCTGACATGGGAAGTGGGTGTCCTGACCAGTAGCTTTAACTGCTGGAGCACACAGCAACCCTTCTGCATCATTTCTGATAGCCAAGTCTTTCATTGGAAGGCTATCGCCTCACTAATCACATACGCAACTTTGTAACTAAATCTCTGGGCACAGATTTGATTACTTCTTACATTAACCCAGACTTCTTGGATAGTGAAGATTCTGTAGTTATAGGGACAAAAGCTGGTTGTCCAGTCACTCAATTCAATGTGCATTTGATGTTGTGTTTTGCGGAGCACCCATGGCCAGCTTTGATCCCAGCTGTGCTGTGGACAGCGTGTCTGGGATGAAAAACAGCCTGGCACTGGTGAAGACATCAGAAGGCAGAGCATCCCTTGCATCAGCCCCCCTCCTCTCCCTTCTCCCTCAGAGCCATGTCTGGGGGTACAGTGATGGCTGATGGGGCAGTGTGGATGCAGGCTCAGAGCTACACAGCCAAAGCAAATGAACACGGAGCCTGCTGAGGGCTGAAAAATGACAGTCTTGTTGCTAGGAGATCATCCTGGGAAAGGCTAGGAAGGGAGATGGTGGGCTGGGGCCAGTGAGCAGGCTCCCAGTGTGGGCCAGGACCCATGTGAAGCCTTCTGTGTGTGACAAAGGAGGTAGACAGGGCATCTCGGAGTCTGTCTGTCTGAACAGGGTATGAACCTGCCCAGAGACTGGTGACCGTGAGAGGTGCTCAGTGATGGGATGTGTGTGCATGTGTGTTGTGTGTTTGTGGCTCGGATGGTTGGGTGTAGCTGTGAGTGTGGACGAGGCGGGGGGACCCCAGCTCCAGGTGAGTTTACCCTGGAGACTTCCTGGCCCAGTGCAGCACAGACCCACTCCCAGCTGGAGGGGCTTGTGTGCTGGTCATGACGCTGCCATTGGCTCTCAGTATGAAGAGCTGCAGATCACGGCGGGGAGGCATGGAGATGACCTAAAGAATACCAAGTTGGAGATCTCCGAGCTCAACCGTACCATCCAGTGGCTGCAGGCGGAGATCAGCAATGTCAGGAAGCAGGTGGGACGGCTGCTTGGGGTGGGCTGTCCCCCCTATGCCGTGGCCCTTCCCATAGCACCCTGCCAGGTTGGGGCCCCCCAGACCCAGCCTCCCACACCCACACGCTCTCCCACTGTCTCCGGAGCAGACAGATCAAATGCACTCGGCCATCTCGGATGCGGAGGAGCGAGGAGAGCGCGCTCTCCAGGATGCGCGGCAGAAGCTGCAGGACCTGGACGAGGCCCTGCAGCAGTCCAAGGAGGAGCTGGCCCGGCTGCTGCGTGACTACCAGGCCCTGCTGGCGGTCAAGCTGTCCCTGGATTTGGAGATCGCCACCTACCGCGCACTGCTGGAGGGCGAGGAGAGCAGGTGGGTATGGCAGCCGTGACCCTGGGGCCAGAGCTCTCCATGCACCCCACGGGCTGGTGGGAGAGAAGATAATTCCAGCATTTCCGGGAAGATTGGTGGCCCAGGCTGAGCAGGTGCAGCTGAGTTAGAAGCAGCAGGTGCATATCACTATTGATGCTTCCCTGCTCCAAGGCAGAAGGTCCCCACACTCCAACCCAAGCCATTGCAGTCAGTTGGTGCCCCCCACTGCTTAAAGACTTCATTAAACAGCTGGAAGTTCCCCACCCTGGGCCCCATGCACATGGATTTCCCCCAAGTTTTGAGGGGCAGCTCTGCTCCCGATGTCTGTCTCCCGGCTGTCTGGGTGTGGCTGATGTGTGTGCTTTGCTTTTTCAGGATGTCAGGAGAATTACAGAGCCAAGTGAGCATTGGTGAGTAGCAAGTCCAGGGGCAGAAGTTGGTTGGTGCTGGGCAGAGAGAGAGAAGGCTGAGAGGGCTTCCTGCCCAGTGGCCAGCAGGAAACAGGCATGTGGCAGTGTAGCTTCTGGTCCTGTCCAACAAACACCAAAGCAAGCATCATGGCAAAGCCGGGAAGAGTTCATTGGAATCAATGGCTAAGATTTCACCCTGCTTATCTTCATTTTTAAAAAGATTTATTTATTTACTTGAAAGAGTTACACAGAGAGCCAGCGCTGCGGCTCACTAGGCTAATCCTCCACCTTGTGGTGCCAGCACACCGGGTTCTAGTCCTGGTTGGGGCGCCGGATTCTGTCCTGGTTGCCCCTCTTCCAGGCCAGCTCTCTGCTGTGGCCAGGGAGTGTAGTGGAGGATGGCCCAAGTTCTTGGGCCCTGCACTCCGTGGGAGACCAGGAGAAGCACCTGGCTCCTGCCATCGGATCAGCGCGGTGCGCCGGGCACAGCGCGCTGGCCGTGGCGGCCATTGGAGGGTGAACCAATGGCAAAGGAAGACCTTTCTCTCTGTCTCTCTCTCTCACTGTCCACTCTGCCTGTCAAAAAAAAAAAAAAAAAAAAGAGTTACACAGGGAGAGAAGGAGAAGCAGAGAGAGAGAGAGAGAGAGAGCAAGAGCAAGAGAGAGAGGTCTTCTATTTGCTGGTTCATTCCCCAAATGGCCGCAATGGCTGGAGCTGTGCAAATCCAAAACCAGGAGCCAGAAGCTTCTTCTGGGTTTACCATGCAGGTACAGGGGCCCAAGCACTTGAGCCATCTTCTACTGCTTTCCCAGGCCATAGCAGAGAGCTGGATTGGAAGTAGAGCAGCCAGGACTCAAACTGGCGCCCATATGGGGTGCCGGCACTACAGGCAGTGGCTTTACCTGCTATGCCACAGTGCCGGCCCAGTCTTCATTTTTATGATACCTAATAGTCAGCAGTGGCTACAACTCTTATTGGTATATATGTTCAATAAGCTATCAAAATGTTTTATGTAGGGGAGTGCTGACACTTGTGTAGCTAACAGAGTAGGTGGGAGCCCTTTCAGTACCTAATGCATCTGCTGTTTGCAAGACAGGTGCTTAGGGATGTAGGAGCCTGCAGGTGCAAGGGTGGGTACAGGGCACAGGTCGGTACCTGTGCTCAGCCCTTGTGAGCCGTCTGCATTGTGTTCTCGCCCACAGAGGTGCAGAGCAGCCAGGTGACCGTGGGCGCCGGCGGGGGAGGCAGCGGCGGCAGCCGAGGCTTTGGAGGTTACGGCGGCGGCGGCAGTGGAAGCTACAGCGGCGGCAGCAGCTCCCGCAGTAGTGGCGGAAGAAGCTACGGAGGCGGCGGCGGCGGCGGCTCCCGCGGGGGCAGTGGAGGCGGCTATGGGGGCGGCAGCTACGGAGCAAGCAGCAAGTCCGGCGGCGGCGGCGGCTCCTCGCGCAGGCAAATCATCCAGACATCCACCAGCACCTCGCACCGGCGGGTGGTGGGCTAGAGGCGGCGGCCAGCCCCTATCCGCTTTCCCCGCGCCCTTCTGAGCCCCTCTCACCTAGCTTTTCCGGATGGGTCTCGGCAGCTTTGTAGTGCATTCTAGGTGGGGAAGCAGGGTGGATCAGTTCACACAGCAGCTCCCTCTCCCTGAAGGGCCCTGGCTGGCTATCAAAGTCACAGGCAACTACATGCTCACCCAGGCTCTGCTCCGGTCCCTGGGGCCTGGTGTCTCCCTGGAGAAAAAGGTGGATAACCGGGGGTTGGTATCTCCATCCCAGGCTCTTTGTCCCACCCCTGGGCTGCTCTGTGAACCATGATCCACCCACAGGAGGCTCACAAATGGTTGCAAGGCTTGATAAGGGGACCCTCCATCCCAGGGGCCAGTTCCTGCCTCTCAGCCCAAGTGCAGGGGAGCGTGGATTTGCCATGAGTCAGGTGCATCCCGATGCTGAATCTCCATCTCAGGAAGCAGTGATCCCGGGGCTAGCAGCCCAAGGTGGGAGTGTTTCAGAGGGCACGGAGTTCGAGTCCTTGTCCAAAGAGAGGACAGTCCTTGGAAAGGGGCAGAGGGCTTGCTGGACACGCAGCCAAGTCATGCGTCTGTTCTGGCCGCACCTGACAGCTTCCGTCTCGGGAACCTGACCTTCCTGAACCTGTTCCGTAGCCGCCCCGGCTGGCTACACACCTGCAGCCCAGCTGTGCTCCGTCCCGTGCCCGGCTCGGGTCTGGCTCAGTTCCCATCCTGAGCCTCTGTGGGAGCTGCCCGTTGTTTTGCAAGAAGTTGAACACCCTTTCCCGGACCTCTCAGGTCCCTTCTGGCAGCCGTGTTCCGTGGCTGAGCACTCAGGGGAGGAGAATTGCCTCCTCGCACTGGGTCTTGTGCTGGAGCAGCAGGAAGAGGACCTTGAGGGAAAGAATGTGGCTTTGCTCCAAGATCCAGGGTCCCTGCCCCGGCTGCAGGGTCCTAGTGCAGCTTCCGGGCCCACAGTTCTCTTGAGGGCACCTGATGGGCTCCGTCTGGGTGCCCCGGGGAGAGCTTGTGATCTCCGTGTTTCCTGGTTGGAAGTTGTATCTTGTGCGGCTTGGCATTTCTGATCTTTCAACAATAAACGTTCCTGTGATCTCAAACGGCCGCTTGGTCAGGGCATGTGTCATTTCTACAGCGTCTGCAGGCCCCTGAGGGGACTCCTCATTTGGGGAGTCAGGGTTGATGACTGCGCACGCAACACATCATCTCCAGGGTCTTTAACAGGGAAAGGAGAGTCAGAGGGAGGAGGGATCCGAGTGTGTGCCTCTGTGGGTCACCTAGCCGGAGGGTGGAGGCAAGGCCTATTCTGAGGACCATGGGCAGACCCACCAACACAGGAGCCACGGGGCTGCAGCTGGGGCCAGTGCCCGGGAGGGGCAGTTGGGTGCCAGCAGACTCCTGAGAGCTGGGAAGTAGAACGGGGCAAGAGAAGGGGCACAGGGAGCTGGGAAGGTCCCTCAGGACTGGGGGAGCGTTTGCCTGGGGACTGGGAGAGAAGAGAGGGGGAACATGTGAGTGAGATGGAGCAGGTGGGTCTCAGAAGCTGAGCAGAGAGGAGGAGGTGGGGGTGGGTGGGTGCAAGGCTCACTTAGTGGGAGGGCCCTGCCTCTGCGACCCATGCCTTGAGTGGAGCAAGGCTGCAGAAACACAAGAACAAAGTTAAGCCATCACCTCCTGCACGTGCCTTTCTGAATCCATGTAAAAGCTGTGACCTACTTTCTCACTCCCCTGGGGGGAAACAGGTGGAATTTGGACGTGGGATTTGTGCAACCACAGTCCATACAGCTGAGATTATTTATGCTCCTGGCTAGAGGCACACCCCTGCACTCTCTCTCTGGAGGTCCCCCCGCAGTGGCTCTGTCCCAGCGGTGGGCCTGCTGGGGGCGGTCTGGGAAAGGGGAGGCGGGGGCAGAGGGGCTGGGAGGACAGATGCTACACACTGCACAGGAAGTTCAAGGACACGGGGAGTAGGGAGGGGAGGCACAGGCAGACCCACAGCAAGGGCACAAACACTGGGGAGTGAGAACACATGAGTCAACGGGGTGCGGTGGCTGCGGAGACAGCCCTGGGAACCAGGAAGAGAGGAGAGCCGGGGAGGCGGCTTGTGCAGGCTCCTCTGCAGTCAGCTCTCTCCGGGGGCACGGAGCACCCAGGGCCGTGGTGCACAGGGGCCTGATCAGAGCACAGTGGCCAGGACAACGGTGGCGGGTGGGGACTCGCACCTGGCAGTATGTGGGGAAAGTGGGGCTGCTCCCTAAGGCCAGAAAGGGGGGGCGGACTCCAGCTGATGATGGGGTGGGGGAGCCCAGCAGGCTGGGCCCCGTATAAGCTGCACCTGCGGATGGATCCTGAGGTGGCAGAGACCCCTGGAGGGACATCGCGTTTCAGGCAGAGGTTGGCTAACCACTTGGCAGAAGGCAGAGGGAGGAAGTGAGGGGTGGCCGGAGGGCTGGGTAAGGAGCAGTTCATGTCTGTGCTACTCTAAGAATCCAGGTGGCAGAGCCTGAGAAAAAAGGGACTCTGTTCTCTGTCACTTGGGGAAGACATGGCCAGGAAGGAGAAAGTCGTGGAGAAGCCCAGGGCTCATAACACACAGTCAAGTGTTCTGGCACCACCAGACCGCTTGTGCAGTGTGGATCTGGGGCCACACACCTGCAGACGGTGCTTCAAGAGAATCCAGGTGGGGGAGGAAGCACGAGGGTCCCCTCTTTCCCACCCTTCTCCGAGGCGGGAATTGGGATTGTCCAGGAAGCGTGGCCCAATCTCTTCTCTTTGGAAGACTTGATGCTCACACCACGGAGGGGTGGGGGCTGAGCGGAGGGAACCACGGGCCTGAGCCCCAGGACACGGGTCCTGGGAGCTGAATGTCAGAGGCAGGAGGAGTGAGTGCAAGATGAGAAGTGGTGACTTGATGCTCTGCTAAGACAGAGTGACAGTGGGGACCCAAGCAGGGGGGCTGTGGCTCCAAGCCATTGGGGGAGGTCTCCCAGTGGAGACAAAGATCCTACTACAGACAGGGAGATGTTCCCTTGGGGAGCAAGGGCCTCACTCCTCTAGCTCATCCCAATGCACTCAGCATTCTGCTCTCAGAACCATGAGCAAACGGTCCCCACGCACCATCTCATTGGATTATCACCATCCCCTGGAGACAGCTGGGAGAAACTCCAGGGAACTCTGTGATCCTGCGGGGGACCATGAAGCCCCCCATCACAGCCCCGATGTGACGCTCCTGCCACAAGGCAGATGCTGAGAGCCAGGGCAGAGCTGGCGCACCCACCAATCACACAGAGGAGGAAGCGTTGGCGCTCAGAGTTCTGGGGAAAGTTTGTCAGCTGCTCCTCCCTCCCTCCGGGCGGGGCGCCTTGGGAATCTAAATTGAATTCCAACAGCTACTCATCTGTGGAGATTCTGATCTCGGGACGTGGAGAACAGGAGGAGCAGCCACTGGCTGAGCAAATTCTAACTTTGTCTGATCTTGGGCAAGGCACGTATTTCTGGGCTGGGAAGGTTCTGGGTCCAGGAAAGTCAGTCGAATTTGTCACCTCCCCTCCTCCAATCACCCAGGCCTCTGGCTCAGGACGTGTCTTCCTATGAATGAGCTGCGTGCTCCCCCAGTCCCTCTCCAGGGCTCCGTGTGATTGATGGGCAGGATTTGGTCGGACTTGCTGCCCTGCTGTTGGCTGGCCTTCTCGTTGGTCCGGGGGGATGCTCGTGTCCCACTTGCTCAGTGCTCTGTGTCAGGGCTGACTGGGCACCTGGGCTGTCGGGACGTGTGCTTGGGCACCCTTCTGGAGGGCTCAGGGTGTCGCTGGCTTCCAAGCCTGGCCCTGGGTGTCGGCTCTTGGGGCTGATCCCCCTCCACAGAGCCAGAGGTCCACAGTAGGACTAAGGACTCCTCCCACCCTCTACCCTCCTGCGGCTCCAGGTGCACCTGCACCCCTGCCTCCCTGCAGTGGGCCCCCAGCACGTTGTCTTACAAGTGGCCCCATTCACAGAGCCTACACTTCCCTTCCCAGTCTTCTCTTGGTCCCAGGGAGCCAGGGGCTTGTTCCAAAGCTTCTCCTGATGGTTACACAGTTTCTGGGTCCTACCAAAGGCAGGGGTGATGCTCCCTCCTCCCTTTGTCAATAATGACAGGTAGCTCTAGCCCTCATCTTACAGGCTCAGAGAGGGTCACACAGCTGGACACGCGCAGAGGCCGGAGTAGGACCCAGGCCTGCGGACTCCTGGCCAGTGTCTGCCACCTCCAGCCTGCCCATGCCTTCATCCACGGCTCCCTCCTTCCTGGCCTCTGCTTTGCCCAGCACGGAGTGGCTCCTGGGGGCCTCCTCCTCCTCGGCTGTGTGTCTTAAATAGGGACTGCCCCTCGCTCTGCCCCCGGCCCTTCCGTGAGAAGCCAGGGCACCTCCTCCACTGGCTGTGAGTTTCGACACCTCGCCCCACCTGCCCATGGCCTGCCATCCTCCTCTGTGCCTCTCAGGCTTCAGGCTTCCCCACTCCCCTGAGATTTCCTTCTCCCACGGCCCTGCTAGAGTCCCGCAGGGCTGGGTGGCTTGTCATTGCACGCCTCCCTTCAATCCTCTCCTCCGTCCCATCCCTGCAAAACCTCTCAAAACATCACCACACCTGCTCCTGCCCATGCCCCCTGGCTTGCCTGTGGCAGCCTCCTTTCTTTAATTAGTGCTGGAGTGTGTGTGTGGGGGCAGGTGTCCTGGCACTGTCACCTAGCACCACTGGGAGTGGGAGTGCCCCTCTGGGGCTGGGACCCTGGGGGAGGTCGGGAGGGCATCCACACTTGGGGGGCTTAGTGTTTGCTTTCTTTTAAGAAGATGTCATTTTGGCTTACAGAGTAACTAGGTAGATGGCAAACACACACACACACACACACACCTGCCGACTGAGTACATCAAGATGCCCTTGAATACAACAGCAACTGGGTTAGGAAAAGAAATGAGCAGAATAGCTGTGTGGTGTCCATCAGGGCAAGCTCCCTGGAGGAGGAGGTGAGGTCTGGGCCTTTCCGGTGCCCAGCAGAGCAGAGATGGGGCAGTGGCCCTCCCAGGTCTGATGGATGGACAGAGAACAGATTCAGAAGACATCTCGCGTGCCCCAAGGTTGCAGGAGGGCAGATGTTGGTGGAGAGTTGTCAAGGCAGCCGGAGGGCTTTTTTCAGAGGAGAGAAGAGAATGGAGATGGAGAGGGGCTGAGAGGAAGAGGGAGCAAGAGGCCTGAGCAGCCTGGGCAGGGGGCAGCTTTGCTGTTTACGTGAGCTGCAGCTCTCCACACTAGGGTGGCGCCTGGAGAGACCCAGTGCCTCCTGCAGGACCGAGGGGATGTGGAGCACCTGCTATCCCCACACTCCCACCACGATCCTGGGGCCAGCGCAGGTGAAGGTGGACGTGGTTGGCCAGCAGCATCGCAGCGCCTGGCCCACTGCAGCGCCCCGAAGGCGAGCAGTGAGGAGAGAAGAGTTTGATTCAGAAATTGGAGGATTCCCAGGAACCGATTGTATGACTTGGAAAAGCTGTCTCACGGCTCTGGGCCCGTGCTCTCTGGTCCCTGCCAGGCAGGTTGATGGTGGGGGGTCCGAGTCCCCGTGGACCGGGTTTGGGGGGGGGGAGCTAGGGTTCTTTGTGCACTCGAACTGGAATGTGCAAGCTCGGGTTTGAGCTAGAAGGAGGCACTGAGCCCTGACTTCGTTTGTTTCTCACTGGAGGGCGTGGTCTCTCTGAGCCTCCTCGTCCTGTGGTCTCTCTGAGCTTCTGCGTCCTATTTCTTTGAAGCAGATTGAACGCAGCCCGAGTTCTCGTGCACCTGTGGGGTGAGCGGTGCAACTGTCAGCCGCTGCCGGTTTCTGTGCCTTCGTGTTCTTTTTGGTCCTGGTCCACCTCTTGGATTTTTCTCTATGCCAGAGATGGAAGCATGGGAGGGTCACTGCAGGATTCTGGTTTTGGCTGGCACCCACACACACCCACCCATGCACTCACACACACACACACGCACATGCATACACGTACGCACACCCCTCCAAAATGCTAGGAGGAATTGATTGTGTACAACAATAGGTCTCCTAGGGAGGGTGCTGAACTGGAAACATCCTGATTGCCTGTGAGGAGAGCATTGGGCAACAGTCGTCACCACGCCAAGACCATCCCAGGCCCCATTGTGCCCAAGGCCCGGCTTACTCACTCCCTAAAGAGATGGTTGATTTAGCAGTCTGAGGATGGTCGTGCCGGGACGGAGCCCCAGACACAGGAAAGGGGCTGAGTGGGGGAGAGAGAGATGGGCATCGGGGAGGTGGGGGCACCTTCCAGAAGAGGAGGTAGAGCCAACATAGTGGGGGGGCAAGGCTCAGAGGGCAGGACTGGCACAGGGCAGTGGGACCTATGGTCTTCCACCAAGTCCCTCTGTGGATTGGGCAACAGTCAGAGACTTCTGGGATGGGTCTCTGAGCTCCCGCGCTGAGCCAGAGCTCAGAGCTAGCTGCAGTCAGAGCTGGCTTTGTCCCCTCTGCATTTGTCCTTTCTGCATTTGCACACCAGGCTACTGATGGAGGGCTGCTCTCTGGGAAGGTCCCTGGGGTGTCCTGGCCGGTTTTTGAGCTCTCTGTCCCCAGTCTCCGCTCTCTGAATGAGCCGGGGAGACATTTTCCAAGTGCTTGCACATGCCAGGCTCCCGGGACTCAAACGATCAAAGTTCTCCTGCTGGCCTTGGAGCCCTCGCCATCTGGTCTCCCACACATTAGGCAGGAGGACCACGCTGTCGCACACCACGCAGGATAGCACGGTGCATGTCATAGTGAGGGCCCTCGTCTAAGCCCCAGCTCTGCCACTCTCCACCTGCGTAGCCTTGGGCTTCTGTTCCTTCTTTTCTAAAATGGATAGACGGGTCGCAGCTGTCTCGAAGCTCTTATGAAAATTGAGCTAGTTAATACCTATCAGATCTGTAAGAGCACGGTCGGTCTTTGTCACCATGGTGACACCGTCGCTGTTACCTTTGTCACTCCATAGAGTCCGAGCTGCACACCCCCCACCCTTACTAAATGTCCAGGGTGTTTCTATCTGCTCCTTTCCCTGCTCCACGGGTGCTTTGTGTGCTGCCCGTTGGCACCTGTTTTCTGCAGCTGCTGTGTCGTGCCGCTGGCACCTGTCTCGTGCTGCGCTGTAGCTTGGAAGAAGAAGAGCATCTGGGGAACTCAGAAAAGGACCTGGCTTTCCCTGCCAGACTTCCAGAGAACCTGCATGCACACCCACCTGTGCGATGACAGCTTCTCTCCTTCAACCAACCCATGCAGCGCGCGCACTGAAGCTTGGTTTAAACAAAATCTTTTAACTTCCTAGTTATTAACGCCTTTGCTCTGTGCCAGGAGATAGAAGTCGGTGAGCTCTAGGGTCTGGGGGGCAGGTCTCAGAGCTGAGCCAGAGAGAACTCATGCCTGACTCTGGGGAAGTGCACCTGCTACCGGGGGCGAGAGAGCCGTGTTCTGTAACTTTACAGGGACAAGGCGAGAATGGGGATTTACTTATCACGGTGGTGAAATCCTACCAGGACACACCAGGGAGCAGATGTGGGGTCCTGCGTTTCCAGAAGCCACCAAGTGCTTCGAGAGAGATCTCGTCCGATAAAAGGATTACCATATGCGCCAATCTTGCAGGCACAGCGATTCTGAGAGCCCATCCTGGAGCTAGGTGTGTAGTGTTTATCGTATTGTTGAGGCTCGTAAAAATCTTGTATGGCTGCAGGCGAGCCAAACCCTGCCGAGGTACAGCGTCTGTGCTGACTCTGGGGGACCCAGCCCAACCGCCTCCTGCTTTATAAGGGCGAGTCTCTGGGCTCGGGCTAGAGGAGTGCTTAGCTCCTTTCCTCTCTCTGCCACTCTGCTCTCAGGCACCATGAGCCGACAGTTCAGCTGCAGATCTGGGTACCGCAGCAGAGGGGGCTTTAGCTCCGGCTCTGCCGGGGCCCTCAGCTGCCAGCGCAGGACCACCAGCAGTTCCGTGCGCCGCATTGGTGGAGGCGGGGGAAGGTTTACATCGGGGGTCTGTGGGGGTGGCGGCGGCGGCGGTTTCGGAAGCCGCAGCCTTGTCAGCCTCGGGGGCAGTAAAAGCATCTCCCTGAGTGTGGCCAGAGGAGGGGGACGCTTTGGTGGTGGCTTTGGCGGCAGTGGTGGTGGCTTTGGGGGTGGCGGTTTCGGCAGCGGAGGTGGGTTCGGTGGAGGTGGCTTTGGAGGTGGTGGCTTTGGGGGTGGTGGCTTTGGAGGTGGTGGCTTTGGGGGTGGAGGCTTCGGGGGTGGGTTTGGGCCTGTCTGCCCCCCTGGTGGCATCCAGGAAGTCACCGTCAACCAGAGCCTTCTACAACCCCTCAACGTGGAGATTGACCCTGAGATCCAAAAAGTCAAGTCTCGAGAGCGGGAGCAGATCAAGACCCTCAACAACCAATTTGCCTCCTTCATTGACAAGGTGAGTTCAACTGCTCCACTCGTGTTGGCTGCAGCCGAGACAGGGGTGGCTTCAGGTTCAAGTTCTCGTGTGTGGACGACCAAAAGGGAATTTTATTGAAAGGCTTTCCAAGAGGTGCTTGGGAATGGTGCTAACGAGCAGCCTGTCGGGGACAAGGGACTCTGAGGTCCAACTCTACATGGGCCATCTTACCATTAAGTGCATTTTATTCACTGCTTGAACTGCATTGCAAGCTACAGCTGTTGAATGAAGATCACAGGACGGGGCTAACTGCACCTTCTAGCGCATCAGTGAGAACCCTGGAAAGAGCTTCCTAACCGTAAACCCTGAGCTGAGTGTGAGTGGCGTGCACTGTGGCACTGCTGCAGGCAGTGTGCAGTAAGTCAGGGCCAGATGCTTCTTGCTTCCAGAGGGGAGCTCTGTCTCAGCGACCTTTGCCTTGCTACCAGAGCAGGGTGCCATCCTCTTTTTTTTTTTTTTCCATACGAATATACTTCCAAGCCCTGGGAAAACATGCAAACCATTTCTTATTTTTTTAACTTAATCTTCAACGCCATCAACCCCAGGTTATACATAAGAAATTTCAAATCCAGGTGTTGGGTTTCCCCAACACACTTTTGAACTGTGTGAGGTAATGTAAACTGATTTTCATGGTACCCTATGATACGGTCACCCAAATAGCAAGCAAACCTTTTAACTATCATCTATGCAAATCTATATTCCAAAGCATAGTTGTAATAAATTTACATGTGCTTAGTGATGGGCATTTGTCTCTGCCTCCTCCATGTTTCCCCAAGTCCTCGGTGAGTTGCACGAGGTTAGGAAGATGAGGCTAAGTTGAGCACCTTCTTTCTGCTTCTCTGTCAAGGCCCGGAAGTAGGCATTGAAGTTCTCTTCCCATTGAGGCCAGGCCTTGTGGTGAGGTAGCCCTTGGCACTCCTCTCACTCCCTGGCACACAAATCCATGGGGCTCTCGCCTTCTGCACCGGGAGTGATGGGTCTTGGGTTTTCAGGTGCGGTTCCTGGAGCAGCAGAACCAGGTGCTGCAAACGAAATGGGAGCTGCTGCAGCAGGTGGATACCACCACAAGATCCCACAACCTGGAGCCCTTGTTCGAAGCATACATCAGCAACCTCCGAAACAGAATAGACCAGCTGAAGAGTGACCAGTCTCGGATGGATTCGGAGCTGAAGAACATGCAAGACCTGGTGGAGGATTACCGCAACAAGTAAGCAAGTTTGGCAACACAGTTTGTGACTCCTATTGGAAAAGATTCCTGGAAAGTAATAAGCAGGGTGCAGCCATGTCTTTTCTTGGGTCCACGGCCAATGGGTTTGGTGTTTTCAGAGAGCTTCATCTTCTAAGAAGGTGAAAAGAGTTTCGCGGTTTTCTTGCTCAGATTTTATTGTGGCTTTATCTCGGTGGCCGGGATCTCCTAGGCTTTTGTAACAGGAGAGCAATGCCAAGCTGTGCCAGTTTTTCAGTCTGGGATTTGCCGATCTCAAATCCCCCCACCCTTCTGCTTTCCCACAGGTACGAGGATGAAATCAACAAGCGCACAAATGCAGAGAATGAATTTGTGACCATCAAGAAGGTGAGTGGATTCCGTAGGCTGGGACTCCCCGTCTAAAATGAGGCATGGAAGAGGCAGTTAGGGAGCAGAGAGCAGCTGGGGTGTGAAGTTGGCTTCTCCATTTCCTCAGCACCTTCTGTAGGGGGTGAGCGTGGAGGCAGGTTCTCAGCAAGCCAGGCAAGAGCGGGTGTGCTTGCCCTGGGGCGGGAAGACAAGGAGTAGATCCCAGACTCCGCCCCACATGGCCAGTGAGGTCAAGACCACAGCTGCCCGATGCCCTTGGCTTCTGCAGGATGTGGATGCCGCATACATGAACAAAGTGGACCTCCAGGCCAAAGTGGACACCTTACAGCAGGAAATTGAGTTCTACACAACCCTCTTCCAAATGGTAAGTCCTCTCATCTTGACTGCCTTTTTTTTTTTTTTTTTTTAACATAAACGGGAGGTCTTTTGGTCAGGACCCACCACTCGCCAGCAGCAAGGGGATATATCTTCTGTCTCCTGAGCCCTCCCTGCAAGTTAGGTCTTGTTTGAGCACCATACGCCGTCATATGCCCCACGCAGGAGCTGTCCCAGGTGCAGACGGACATCAGCCAGACCAACGTGGTGCTGTCCATGGACAACAACCGCTCCCTGGACCTGGGCAGCATCATCGCCGAGGTGAAGGCCCAGTACGAGGACATCGCCCAGAGGAGCAAGGCCGAAGCCGAGTCCCTGTACCAGACCAAGGTGAGCTGGCCCGGGTGGCCAGCCAGCTTCCCTGTGGTGTCCTGCCTTATGACCTTGTGTTAGCTCCCATTTTGTACTCTGCACCGCCTCTGACTGGCCTGATTCGCCCTCTTCAGTATGAAGAGCTGCAGATCACAGCTGGCAGACAAGGCGACAGCGTGAAAAACTCAAAAATGGAGATATCTGAGCTGAATCGCATGATACAGAGACTTAGGGCTGAAATCGAGAGCGTCAAGAAGCAGGTACCCGGCCCCTCCTCTGGGGCTCGGCTCCATCCAGCTGGGGTGATGGATGCCCAGGTGGGGGCGGGGCTTTCCCAAGCCTTGGAGCTCGCCATCCATGCCCAAGGTTGCGTCATTTTCCATAGTCACTGGAGCGACTGTACTGGTTTCCAGAATTCAGCCACCCTGCCAGGTTCTCTTTAGTGATGCTACTCAGCAGGAGAATGGGTGGGCTGGTGTTTGGTCAGCCTCACTGGGCTGGGGAGGTGATTTGGAGCTGAGAAGTTCCGGGAGCGGCACCCGGTCCAACGAGAGGGTGAAAGGCGCTGGCTTCTCCCTGCCCAGATCGCCAGCCTGCAGCAGTCCATCTCGGACGCCGAGCAGCGTGGAGAGAACGCTCTCAAGGACGCCCAGAACAAGCTGAATGACTTGGAGGACGCCCTGCAGCAGGCCAAGGAGGACCTGGCGCGCCTGCTGCGCGATTACCAGGAGCTCATGAACACCAAGCTGGCCTTGGACATCGAGATCGCTACCTACAGGAAGCTGCTGGAAGGCGAGGAGAGCAGGTGAGGAGGGGGTCTCCTTAGGGGCTTCTTTCCTTGCAAGCTGGCTGTGGTTGAAGTTGGGGGCTGCAGCCTGAGGCGGGGGGCGGGAGCGCGGCATGAAAGGGGCACAGAGCAGGAGGGAGGACCCGACTTCCTTTTGGGGAGCCTCCCGGATGACAGGGAGGAGGGAGGGGGTCTGTGGCGGCGGCGGAGTCTCAGGGGGTGCCACTCGCTTTCTCCTTCTGCAGGATGTCTGGGGAGTGCACCCCCAACGTGAGCGTGTGTAAGTACCGGTCCTTCCCGCTGGGGGCGTGTGCAGGGGACCTGGGGGCGGGGCGGGGGCGGGGCTGAAGGCTGCCGCCCCTCTCTCTGCAGCGGTGAGCACCAGCCACACCAGCATCAGCGGAGGAAGCAGCCGGGGAGGCGGCGGCTACGGCTCCGGCGGCGGCGGCGGCTACGGCTCCGGCGGTGGCAGCTACGGCTCGGGAGGCGGCGGTGGCGGCGGCGGCTATGGCTCCAGAGGCGGCGGCGGCGGCGGCAGCTATGGCTCCGGAGGCAGCTCCGGGGGCCGCAGAGGCGGCTCCGGAGGGGGTGGCGGCAGCTCGGGCGGCCGGGTTTCCGGCGGCGGGAGCTCCGGGGGCAGCTTCAGCTCCTCGGGAGGCCGGGGGTCCAGTTCTGGGGGGACCAAGAGCTCGGGAGGCAGCTCCAGCGTGAAGTTCGTGTCGGCCACTTACTCCTAAGGCGCCGGTTGGAGAGGGCGCTGGAGCCGCGCCGCTCTCGCTCCCCGCCAGTACCGAGGCTTCTGGGCGGGGCCGAGGTCCACTGCCCCAGCCTGATTGCAGGGAGGAAGGTGGCTCGGCCCACCCCTTCGTCCCGCCCCCGCAGCCCGCTCTCTTCTGCTCCGCTCGCCCAAGTAGCTCCCCGATCCTTCGCCGGAGGTCTTCGTGCCCTGGCTTCAGCCCCGCTTGGTTCCACCGCGCCACACACGACATTTCAGAGGAGGGCCCCTCCCATTCTCCTGCCCCCCAGGGCTTCTGTGCTGCGCTCGGAGCTGCTTCGGCTCCGTACCGAAGGGGCAAGCAAGCCGCTTGCCTTCTGTGGAGAGGTCCCCCAGCCCCCAGCCCCCTGTTTTGCTGCAATAAACTGCATTGGAAATTCGCTCCAGGTCTCCGTCGCCTTTGTTTGTGGCTCCTCTGTCTCTGATGGGTGCTGGGTTGGGAGTGAGAGAGGATTCCCGAGACACGTGGCTGCAGGGTGGAGCTGCAAGGGGTGAGCAGGCTGTCACCCAGAGGCGATGCATGCGGTTGAGGAATGGAGGGACAGCGGTGGCAGGCTGTATGTCCCAGAGAGGGCTCTGCTGACCATAGCAGTGAGCGCTTGGCCTTGAGAAGAAGGGACAGCATTGCATGGAAAAGGGATGTCCTTGTGGTGAGGGGCACAAGGGACACCGGGTCAGCAACTGCTGCGACAGCAGGATGCAGACGGGGGCCTGGGGAGTTTCAGAACCAAGGGAGGTGACAGAGAGTGGGATAGGACACTTCCCTTCCCCTGTGGGCCACCACCACCCAGAGCTCTGCTGACCCCTGTGGCACAGAGGACTCTCCCAGCCACCGAGAAAACTATTTAGGTTGCTGCTTCAAAACTCAGGAAACTAGCCTTACACTCTCGCCCACACTCCACCACCCGATCCTTTCTCATGGACACACCCAGAGAATATTCTTGTCTCAGAGTCCTTTGCAAGGGCGTGTGTAATTCTCTGTCCCCAAGCACCCCTAGTAATAGCTGGCGCCGATCCCCCTGACCCTTGATGGTTCCTTCCTTGGAATCCCAGCTGGCCCCATAAGGACAGTTGGGGGCACTCCACTGCTGCCACTTTTGGGGTGACTTCAGCCGAGGGTTCAGCCAAGTCAAACCCCTCCCCCAGATCTGTTTCCACCTGGACTGATGATGTGAGCACTTGGAAAGCACCTTGGTGGGGTTGGAAGGACGTGGAACTTGGATTCAGAGAATCTGAGTCCATCCGGCTGTGATATTTAAAGGGTTGGCAATGAGAAATGGCCCACAGCTTACAGGGAGTGAGGTGGGTCCCTGGGCAAGTCCCTGGGCCTTCCCATGCCTCAGTTGTCTACTGGGTGAGATGGGGATGAGGACATTTGGCTCCAGACATCAAGGGGGCAAGAAATGCAGTGCGAGTCCTCTGGGAGCTGCCTGTGTGTTATAGGGAAGTGACTAAGTGGCGTTAGAAAGGAGTGACAAAGAAGGGCGGGCAGAGTGACACCAAGGAGGGCGGCACCTAGCAGTGGTCGCCGTGGCCCAGCAACAGCCCTGTGGGGAGGTACCATTGATCTTGGCAGAGGACTCAAAGTTGACTTTGCACCTGAGGACTGATATAACCCAAACCCACAGAGACGGGTGTGCCAACCACAATGTCCAAGCCTTAGCTTGCAAGAGGCCCATGTTTGCAGTGGCTGAAATACCAGAGCCTCCCAATCTTGTTACCAGGACACCCAGGAAACAAGTCTCAAAAGACAGCTGGGTGGTGTACCCCACCCTGTCTGTGGAAGGACCAACCCCTGGGGCCGTTTTCTTGGGGGTGCTGAGTGAAGGGACAGGGATGGACTCATGCCCCCTGGTCCACATTTTCTCCATCTCATTGCTGGGAACATTCTGGCTCTCTCTCTCTTTTTTTTAAAATATTTATTTTATTTATTTGAAAGACAGAGTTACAGAGAGAGATAGAGACAGAGAGAGAGAGGTCTTCCATCCATTGGTTCACTCCCCAAAAGACTGCAATGGCCAGAGCTGAGCTGATCCGAAGTCAGGAGCCAGTAGCTTCTTCCAGGTCTCCCATGTGGATGCAGGGACCCAAGGACTTGGGCTATCTTATACTGCTTTCCCAGGCCATAGCAGAGAGCTGGATTGGAAGAGTAGCAGTTGGGACTCGAACCAGCAACCATAGGGGATGCTGACACTGCAGGCAGTGGCTTTACCCACTACAGCACAGCGCTGGCCTCTCCGGCTCATCTTGATTTGACTTGGGTTTCCTAGCTAAGGAGAGCCGTGAAGTAGATACCGGTGTCACGTACAGTGGTCAGGGATGCAGAAAAAACTGCAGTCGTTGGTGAGTAACGAAGAACTGAGGAAGAGCAAGGGCCCTCAGGCACCGATGTTAAAAAGACAATAGAGGGGGCCGGCACCGTGGCTCACTGTGGCGCTGGCATCCCATATGGGCACCGAGTTCTAGTCCCAGTTGCTTCTCTTCCAGTCCAGCTCTCTGCTGTGGTCCAGTGGAAGATGGCCCAAGTGCTTGGGCCCCTGCACCCACATGGGAGACCAGAAAGAAACTCCTGGCTTCTGGCTTTGGATTGGCACAGCGCCAGCCGTAGCGGCCATTTGGGGAGTAAATGTCTCTCCCTCTCACTATCTAACTCTACCTGTCAAATAAATAAATAAAAATCTTCAAAAAAATAATAAAATAAAATAAAGACAATAGAGGAAAAATGTGGATTCTGTTCTGTACAAAACCCAACTCCTGCGCCAGCCCTGTGCATCAAGGACTGGCTAAGCACTGGGCATGCTACAATGCGTGGCCATGGTGCTTGCTCTCGGAGGGGGAGCCATCACGTGTCCAACCAGCTACAGACACACGCTGAAGCAGGGATGTCCACTGGAGGTGCCCTGAGTATCTTGGCCACCGAGGACATCCATTTACAAAAAGGTGAGAAACTCCTGTGTGCCTTCTGATGAACAGAGTGTGCAATCTTTTCTCTATACTGTAGCCACCTTCCCCAGTAGCTCAGCAGAGCTGGGAACTGAGAAAACCCCTTGCGTCTGCATGTGATACGGAGCTGGATTCTGGGTTTGACCATTACGTATGGGAGAGCCTTCACGGTGGGGCAGGAAGTCCAGCTCCACCTGGATCCCAATCACAGAACGTCAGGGATGATTGCTCATCTCAGAGTGACAAGCAAAAACGCATCCTCAGGTTTCTGAATGATCCCTGGGGGCAGTGTGGCGTGCTTAGGACGTTTTGTGGGCTGGGGCCATTTTTAGAACATTCAGGGGGAGAAAATGAGCCACGTATTCTCCACTGTACTTTGTTCTGTGTTGTGTCTTGGGTATTTGGTCTTGATGAAAGGCTGTCCCCTCCTGGGAGGGTGTCGTGTGGACCCCTGAATGGTGCAGCTGTCTGCCTGATAGGAAGCATAGTCTCCTAAAAATAAGAGGACACTCGGGAAGACGGCCCAGGGACCACTCAGCCCGAGCACCCGGGAAAGAAGTCAGTGGAGAGTGTGATGGGGAGCCAGGAGAAGGGGTGTTGCCATGGAAACCAGGAGAGCTACACACTGCAGGATACAGCCAGGAAGAGAAGTCCACCGGAGCTGAAGAGGGGTGGGGCTGTGAGCTGAGAAGAATCTAGAAACATGGTGAGCCTTCAGCAGGTGGAAGGGATGGGGTGAGCAGTAGGAGCCCTTTCCTGGTGTGGCCAAGACCAGAAATGCAGTCTATGAAAAGTTGCTTCCTTGAGCCGCCATTGGCTGGAACCTGGTGCCAGGTGAAAGGAGAATCGAGGTGCCTACGGGACACGCGGGAGGTGCCAGCAGTTCTCAGTGGCGTGTTGAAAGGAGGGATACCCAAGATGCCCCGGGAAGCTCTGTGTCACTGTGCTTGCCCCTCCTCCACCTGCTGGAGGCACCGCGGCACCTGCCAATCCACCACAGCACCTGCCAATCCACCACGGGGATAATGGCGCCATCTCAGTCAACTTGTGACCTTCCCAGGTTCACGCTGGGCTGCTCCCACCCCTCCCAGGGGCCCGCGCCCAGGTTCCAATCTGTCAATGAGCCCAGCCCGTTCTGTCTGGCGGTGTGGCGTCCTCTGCTGGTGCAAAGACACCTTTGCACAAGGCAGTAGCTCCCAGGGACAGCGAGAGTGAAGATGATGTAGTCTGGCTGTTTCAGTAAGCTTTTGGGGAGTAGTAGAGAGGACCAGGCTTTCTCTTGGTTCTGTTCTTTGGTTGCCAAGACAAAAGAAGCAGCTGCATCCTTCTGGGGAGGGGTCTTGGCTGTCCCTGTGGGTGGAGCTCAGTCCTGAACATTGTGACAGTTCAACTGACCCCCTGGAAAGCTCATGTGAGTTTGGAATAAGAACTGGAGCAGACAAGTGGCTTCAAGAGGCTCAAAGAGGCTGGCTGAGGGTGGAGGGTGATGGCCAGTCTCACTAAGATGGCCATTCTCACACCGTGTGGAAGGGGGAGGGTCCCGCCTGTTGCTTGGAAGTCAGGGGCGTGGCTGTGAAGAGGACATCGGATACCCAGGCCCAGTTGTCTGTCTTGTGGGGTGATGACTCAGCCCCCACCGGAGATGCTCGGGTAGAGGGGCCTCTCCCCAGGCAGGGACGCCACGCAAGGGGGCCAGAGGGTCTCGAGAGGTTGGACTGCTCCCAACCTCGAGATCCGTGGCTGCTTCCTTGGCCCATTCGCTCCCCAAGTCCTCCAGATGTTCTTCCTTGCATTTCCTTTTGCAAGAGGCCCAGAATTCAACCCCCAGAATCTTTGGCTCCATTATTTAAACAAGTAAAAGAGGTTTGCTCTTGGTTTGAGCTGATCTCAAGGGCTGTCGGAGAACATTGCTGTTCAGTTAAAGAATGAGCTTGGTCCATGGGCCTGGGCTGGGTCCACTTCCGCCTGGGTTCCTGCTGTGTTCCCAGTGGGACCCCAAGTGCTGGCAGGTGGGGTCTGTGGATGCAAGGGCCCGAGTGCTTGGGCCACCTTCTGCTGCTTTCCCAGGTGCATTAACAGGGAGCTGAATCGGCAGCCACACAGCCAGCACTTGTCAGGTATGGGATGCTGACCCTGAGAGCAGTGGCCTAGCCTGCTGCACCACAACACTGGGCCCAGCACTTGTTTTAGTACAGATCATCACATGTCCCTCAAAGCCTAGCTAAGCCCAGAACTTCTGTGGCCATGCCCCATCTCTCCACCTCCTAGACAAAAGAAAGCATTCTTTTGTGGTCCCATCCTGTGTCACCTGCTGACATCCTGACATTTGTGCTATTGTTGAGTTAGCTGAGTACCTGGCTGTCTGTCCCCCTGATTTCTGATACCCTAAATGGCTGGGTAGGGGGCTGAGCCTTGCCTTATTTATCCTGATTTATTCAA